CAGAGGAACACAAAACACTACTTTACCATCAAACTCTGACCACATGCGTAACAACTAGAGTCCAGATAGAGAGGCAGATTTTTGTTTGTTTGTTTGTTTGTTTTTGTTTTTGTTTTGTTTTTTGTGGACCTTATTGTCACATTGTATGATGAACCTCATCTGAGGTCTAACATTATTCCTCCTGCAGCTCCATTTCTTCTCTCTCTCTTGCTGCCTCCTAACATGCTTTCCGCCTTCTCTTTCCTCTTGTCTTTGGAAAACAGCATCACAGTTTCCACGGACACCGTATTGGCAAATAGCACCAAGGTGGTTGTTGTTAATCCTAAATGATCCAGTATGGAAGTCTCATTATTTATGAGCTTGATATTTCCTGACACAACCATCTCCATCGCCAAATAGTACCAGCCTTTGGTCAGGCTGCTATCACTGATGCCTCAATCACATTTGACAGCTTCTAAATTAAGCTTATCAACATTTTACCCTGTTATAGTCGGTTATGATGGTAAGCAGTGCACTGCATCAAAAGTAAATCCTATTACATCATGAAAAGAAAAGAAAAACAACTCAAATAAAGTAAGAAAGACACATTTATTATCAGCAGGGTGTATAAAAACATTCATTGTGAAAGGTAAACCCACAAAGTTTATGGTCTGACATGAAGGACGAGCATATATTACACCTGTCATTATGAGACACCATCAAATCACTCCAGCAGAGAGACCTCATGGAAGTATGCTCCCAGCAGCTTGACTCCCTGAATGTAGTTTGATCTGAAAATGGAGAAATAAAGCAATGATAATAGTTTGTAATTAAAAAACTCACTTTACCTGTGATCACGTTTTGGCACAGAAATAATCTGGAGATGACAAACATGATCCTCTTCTTTTACCACAAGATTTCATCCGTTTTATCAATAGTTCCTACTTGTTCCACATTTCAAAAGAAGTGAAACGGTGTGAGCTGTGACCAACCTGTTGATCTTTTCATTCTGAGAGTGAGCTCCATCATCAGAGGACCCTACAGGAAGCAGCATGACATTACGGCCTGTGGCCTCCTGGAAGGTCAGGGTGACCGGGATGCTGCCGCCCTCGCGAGTCAGATCAGGCTCGACCCCGAAGACTACAGCACAACGAGGAGGATAAGACTTTTTTTGTCACAACAAAACTGGATACACTCCTATCAGTGAAAATATCTGAAAAAGACTTAAAAAGTTTCACAAAAACATGCATATAACAAAAAACTTATAAAATTTGCTTGTCTTTGTTTTTAATGTCCTGAAACATCTACCGAGGACAGGAGCTGAAACATGAAAAAATATTTTCCTCTTAAAGAAAAAGTATCAACATGTAAACTGTAAGAAAGTCAGTTGTATTATAGCAGGAGAAAGTGTTTTACACTTTTGCAATACAATAAACACAGAACTGATTTAGACTTTTTAGCAAAATAAAAGAAATGGGGGAGATTGAGTGAACTCCCTCTTTAATCTAACAGCTTTTATCATTAAGTCCCTGTACCTGTCTTCATGGCCTTTCTCCCTGCCATGTAGTGTGGGTGGTTGAAGTCTGAGACCCAGGCTTTGGCCCCGTGGCCCATGTTCACTTTCAGTTTATTGGGG